AGCTTTATCATATTTGTGCGTTTACATTTTCCTGGGAGCAGAAATCTACATTTTATGGACTTGGTTAGATGAGGTTTCATTTAATTTAACCTCTGAGTGTTTTCATACTGATTTTGACCCATGCAACAGGACTGCGTGGTCACAATGTACTCATATCTTGACTTTTGCATTTGCAGAATGCCTATTTCCATGCAAGGGCACGTTTTCTGTCAATCGCTAGGGGAACCCATCGTGGTGACGCATGGACACTCGCAGTCACACACACACACACACACACTCATCTAGAGTCCTGATTTATTTTATTATCTTAAATATAAACAAACTCTGACATTATGAAAACTGGTAAAAAGCAAAACAGTGACATTTCTAATATTAATTCCAAATTAGATTCATGTCTTTTTATCCAAACGGCAACAAAAAGGCTTTGCATTGTGGCACAGATGTGCGTGTAAGTGCATTTTTTCAGTTTCAATCGCAAACAGTGTTTGGATTTGTTACAGTTGGTCATGAGAAGGTTTGATGGCAGATTTAGTCGCAGCAAACAGTGCAAACGACTGTGAAATGACTGTATGACACTTTCGTTTGAGCAGAGGATCTCAACAGGGATCACTAAACTCAAACTTACATAATTGTAGATGATTTTAGATCATCAGCGCTTCTGCATTGTAGAGAGCGAATGAGAATGGTTGCCAGATTGAGAAGATAAACTAAACACAGCGAAGAAAATGTGTCCTCCGCTGACACAGAGAGAGCAGACAGTTACTGTGTTTAGGTAAGAAACAGCTTCACAAACAGTCTTTTCAACCACAAAGTATTATTTCTGTCTTACAATCATTCATATCACAGAAATAATGGGATGAAAGTTTATAGTTCGGATATAAACATTGATGTCAATGGTAGCGTTCAAAATAGAGAAAAATCACCTTTTGGAAGTAATTGATGCTTCAAATAACGTTTGTGTCGATTACATCGTTTCACCACTAGGTGGCGAAAAGTGACTGTAAAAAATGTATTTGTCATTGAATCATTCATTCAGGAGATTTGTTCAAAATTGCTGATTCATCCAGCAATGAAACAAGTGAAGTATTTATGAGTGAGTCAAGTGTTGGGTAAGTTACTCTAAAAAAGTAATTAATTACTAGTTACTAATTACATCTTCAACAGTGTAATTAGATTACTGTACAAATTACTCTCTCCAAAAAGTATTTAATTACTTATTACTAATTACTTTCTAAATCCTATATCAACCTCGACAAGTTATTGATACAAGGATAAACATGAAACGGTTCTTTTAATTCTTTCAAGTAACTATATCAATTATTCTGGTCACTCTTTAGATTAGGGTCCAATTCTCACTATTAACTAACTATTAACTATGACTTTTACCTCAATATACTCCTAATTACTGCTTATTAATACTTAGTAAAGTAGTTGTTAAGTTTAAGAGTTGGGTAGGATTAAGGATTTAGATTAAGGTCTTGCAGAATAAGACATTAATATGTGCGTTTTAAGTAATAAAAACAGCCAATATCCCAGTGATATTCATGCTAATAACCAACTAGTTAATAGTGAGAACTGGACACTAAAGTGTTACCAATATTCTTATGAACTCCCCAAAGTATTTAAAGTGAGAAGAGTGCATAAAAAGCATGCATTTTAAGGTTAGACTTTAAATTTTGATGTTAAATCCACTATTGTATTGTGCATAAATGTTCTACAGTCTATACACAGTATTAAGTTCAATTACATAAGAAGCAACTATAATTAAATTCCAGAAAAAAAGAGTAATCCCTTACTTTACTTTTTCAAGGGAAAAGTAATTAAATTACAGTAACTAATTACTTAGTAACTAGTTACACCCAACACTGTCTGTTCATCTTTCTGTCTGTGGGTGTTCAGCGGTGATGAAAGACTCTCTTTGTGTTGGCCTGGTCTCTCTTTCAGTGCGTTTTATTTCCGTATTGGTCTGGTTTCAGTGTGTATGTTTGTACGTTTGTTGCGTTTCTAAATGCAGAATGTCTTTTATGTACCATCTGAGGAAGTTAGTGGTGTTTACTAAGTCAAGCATCACTATTAATAGTGCTCATCGTGATCTGAACAAACACTCCAAGTATTAACCTTAGTGTAAAATATCTATAAATCAGAATATCACAGAGATATGAGGGTAAACTTTTGACTTGAACCACTGAGAAACCATTTAGAACAGCAACCACATAACAACTACCCAGAATACCTTAGAAACTGCATAGAAACATGCAAAAGCACCCAAAACATGCAAGATCCACCATGTCTAGGCAGCTTAACCACAACAAACTACAAGACCTTCACTGAACTGACTGTACTGGTGTCAGTCTGTTGACTTGCATCCTGAATCCTACTGGAAACACACACGCACACACACACACACACGCACACGTCTGAACTGGAGCTGGAAAATCACATTTTCAGCTTTTGTTTTTTAATTTCTCGTGCTGCTGTGAATTTCTTGACAAAATGAACATTTAATGAAATATTTGAGTTGCAGTGTGAAGTGAGGGAGCAGCATTGTGACGTGCTCATCACACTAGTGCTTAAAGGGGTGGTTCTCTCTCTCTCTCTCACACACACACACACACACTCACACACTCACATTCACACTCTCTCTCTCTCTCACACACACACACACACAGATATGTGTCCAGTGCTGTCACAATGAGCAAATTTTCAAAAATGAGTTATTGTTATTTTTACGCTCTCTATTAACAGACCTTCAAAATGATGTATGATTTGTTGAAATCGGGCGAAAAATTACTTGTCTGAGGGTCGATGGAGTCAGCAAAGTCAATTTAGAGACAAACTGATTTAAAGTTTTCTGAAGGTTCCAAAGCAAAATCACCGAGCAACATTACATCTTTTCCCCCACTTCTTTTCTTAATAATCATTACTAGGTTATTAATCACAATATAGCTATTTTTTATTTTATGTTTGTTGTTATAAATGAAAACCGATGCAAAAAATAAACATATATAAGAAAGAAGTGTATTATCGACTTTTTTCATTTTACATCTAAACATAAGAATTCAAGTAAGAAAAACAAATAGTACAATGTAAAAATCACTTACAGTAAGTGTGTTCATTAAAAATAAATTGATTATTAAAACTACAAAAGCAGTTCAGTCAAGCAGCGAGTGATTCCCTCTTTTTCACATATATTCTCTTTGCATGATGAACATTCAATTTTATTAAATGCTCATTTCAACATTTAAAATACTTGCATTGCTCATTGTTACAGTTAGTGCATTATGTTAATTATGTTAATGCATTAACTAATGGGACTAAAATGTTGCCTATTTATTTATGTATAATTCCTTTACATTTCTTCTGTGAATCTAATTGATACTTTTTGTACGAGTTTATTCATATAGAGCTTTTCACAATTCACATTGTTTTCAAAGCAGCTTTACAGACAGTCATGATGTTAATGTTTAAAATATTAAAATATCTTCATGGCTTATAGTTGCAATCTTCAGATCAGAATAAAAGTGTTGCTGATGGTTGTAATAGCTGTGTGTGAAGCTGGAGTTGACGTGAGCGTTGAGTTGTTAGTGTTTTTGGAGAGGTTGATTATGTTCTGTAAATGACTGAAGAACTAGATTCTTCTTCACAGCAGCAGCCTTTTCTTGCTTTCTGAGTTTTCCAGCGTGAGTGTGATCAGGGTTAATGCAGCAGCACTGATTCACAGCTCTGCTGTCTGTTCATCATTCAGATACGAGACGCTTTTACTGGATACGCTTTTTATCAGTCTCACATAATGCATCCTTTGACACGCTGAGTGCTCATGTATTTATGATGATGCTGAAGCTGCTGAATGAAAGCAAACAAATGAGATGAACTGGAGACTTTCAGAATGAACATCACAACATGCTAAGCTGATGTTTTCATCAGACACGTCCCGCTCCTGTTTGCTTTAGTCTAGTGATCGGCCTCATGGCAGACAGATCCGCCCAGAGTCAGACTGATGTGCGTTTCAGTGCTGGTCCTGATGGATGATAAAGTTTCCATCTGCAGTAGTTACATTGCATGTCTAATTCTTATTATTGTGTAAACACTCCTGTATCTGTGAGTTCTCATTTGGGTCATGATATGTTTATGGGTGTGTGTGTGTGTTGTGTGTGTGTTTTCAGCTGCACATCACAGCGGCGAACGGTTATGCAGAGGCTGCAGAGATGCTGTTGGAGGGAGGAGCCAGAACAGACATGAAGGATTCTGACGGGTGGACACCGTTACACGCCGCGGCATGCTGGGGACAGGTACACACACAAACACACACACACAGACACACAGAGTCAACATACACACGCATGCATGCACACAAACACACACACACACAGTCAACATACACACGCATGCATGCACACACACACACACACACACACACACATACAGTAAACATATACACGCACACACACACACAGTCAACATAAACATGCGTGCATGTGCACACACACACCACACATAGTCAATATGCACACGCATGATAGACTCGACGCATCAGACTCATAACTCTCTAATAATAATGCTAATGAATTCTGCTAGAAGTAACACTAATGAATGATAAAAATTCCTCCTGCAGGTCCATGTGGCCGAGCTGCTGGTTTCTCATGGTGCCAATCTAAACGCCAAGACATACATGGAGGAGACGCCCATAGGTACAAAGAATGAACCTGATGAGACTCTAATAACGATAAAAACACCTGACTGAACATCATCCGCAGCACATCCATATATGCATGGACATGTTGATTTGAGTAGATTAGCTTAAATCTTCTGATAAGAAAATAGTTCATTACCAGTGTTGGGAAGTAACTAGTTACATGTAACAGAATTACATAATTTAATTACAAAATAAACGTAATTGTAATCAGTTACAGTTACTGAGATTTGTAATTAAATCACAGTTACTTATGAAAATGTTAAGGATTACAAATGAGGTTACATCTGAATTTTTTTCACCCACACTCCCACATACAGATTTAATAGATTTCTTTCATAAATTGCATTGACTGTTTTAAAATATAAAACACCAATGTTTCAGGAGTTTAGAACATGCTTATTCGATAACTCTTATTTCCTATATGACTATGGTTAGGCAGAGCCTGAGCAATATGACATCACACTGCTAAAAATGGCTTGATAATTGAGACTGTTTATGTTTTTGGAGGATTTAAAAAAAGGAGTGATTTTTTAATCATTGTAGGGTGGTTGTGTCCACACACTGCTAAGATACATTTATATCCAGACACCATGTAAAAGTGAATTTTGCATTCAATGTCTCCTTTAAAACTGAACTATTATAATCTTAATTCAAGTGATGAAGGATTCTGAAAGTCTGACAGTAATCAGTGTTGAGTACTGTACTACTGTAAGGTTAACCCGGCCTGTTTGAAAATGATTAACAGTTGAGAACATTAGAAATGTAGAAAAGTAATCAAAAAGTAATCAAAAAGCGTGTTTTCAGATTATGACTCGTGTCGCTCGGTCTCTATAGGACAAATAAATGAATAAACCTAAGTAAACACACTAAAACCCAGGAGCATTAATTGTGTGTGTGTGTGTGTGTGCAGATCTGTGTGAGGATGAGGAGTTCAGGAATCATCTGCTGGAGTTGAAGCACAAACACGACATCATCATGAAATCACAGCTGAAGCACAAGACGTCACTGTGCCGCCGGACCAGCAGCACGGGGAGCCGCGGGTACACCACACACACACGCACGCGCACACACGCACGCACACACACGCACACATTCACACTCACACACACACTCACTCACACACACACACACACCTACACACACACACTCTCTCTCTCTCTCTCACACACACACTCACTCACTCACTCACTCCACTCTCTCTCTCACACACACACACACACACACACACACACACACACACACAAATGTACTGTATATGACACCTGCTGGCCGTTGATGATCACTGCACATGCTTATGTTTCGTCAGTTAACTGGTGACATTGCATAGAATTGTATTGTTTTCATCATACACTACCAGTCAAAAGTTTTTGAACAGTAAGATTTTTATTGTTTTTTAAAGAATTCTCTTCTGCTCACCAAGCCTGCATTTATTTGATCCAAAATACAGCAAAAGCAGAAATATTGTGAAATAGTTTTACTATTTAAAATAACTGCTTTCTATTTGAATATATTTTAAAATGTAATTTATTCCTG